AAAATAGCATCACAGCCTTGGAACCTGAGTACACATTCATCCTTCAAGCTCCAGAACATCTAGACATGCATCGGTAATTATTTCTCAAAAATGCTAAAGAAAATATATCACATTGTTCATGTTGGCGGCATAAAACAACCTGTAATTGAAGTTATTGAACTCATGCAAATAATGTAGCCTCTAAGCTTTGGTTTTTGGTTTTTTTTTTTTTTTTTTGAGAAACAATTTTATCATTTTTTTATTTTACAAAGACAGCTTAAAAGAGAATCTACATAATGTTAAAGAGTTGAAGGCCATAAATTTGTAGAACAATACCAGTGAATAGGCATCAACAGAATTATCGGAACAAAGCATTTCCATAACCTGAATTGCATAGTTTTGTAGCTCACTATCTGGATGCATGTATTTTAGACGAATAGCCTGCAATATACAATCCAATAATAGATAAGCACGCAGTACTACCCAGGCAAAATGTTAAATAACTGCAACTCCACTCCAACCTAGGGCTGTCAGAGGGCAGACAGGTTTAGGGGGAAAACACCAGACAAAACAGACATTAAATGCAGTGAAACCAAGATAACAGCAGAAATATTGTTAAATGATAACACTTTCTTGTCAAATAAATTATCCTTATTCAAGATGGTTTTGTTCCATGGAATTCAACTCAAGATTCACCAGAACAACAAAAGGAGAGGGGAAAGAAAAAGGAGAGGAAGTCAATATCAGCATCTACCTGTAAAAAGAATACCCAAGACAAGGTTATGCCAACTCGCACGTCCTTTGACCGAGCTCCAACTACACATTGGAAAAATTGTAGTTTCACTAATCCCATGAATTATGAACATCTTTCAAGTTCAGTAGCTAGGAAAGGTCTTAATGTAGGGGCAGTGGGCACCCACACTGGCAGGAAAACTACAAAAATACCTTTTGTGAAAGGCAAAGCTAAATGCCTATGCAAACCACCTTCCAGTTTCTTTGCTGGAGGAAAAGGTCCTTTCCCCCTTGGTTGAACCTAGGAGCAATATAACACATCACAGTTAGATTGTTGACCTAGGTAGATGAAACTTCAAAGAGATAAGGAAAAATATCACAGAAACATATGCAAACCTGTGCATGAGGATTCATTCCGAGAGCAAGCAACGAACCCAATGCTTCAGCAAATGCATCACGGACAGATGAAACAGGATCTTCAAGGGCCTACTATACCGGCCAAATGGGTAAGTAAAGAACTATAACATTGGCATCTTTAAGACTGAAATTTGAAACACTCAGAAGTACAAGACCAACAAGGAAAACTTGGCAATGAAAAGCATCTACCTTGACACAATAAGAAGCTGAACTGTCTAGTTCTCCCACCCCTAGACCCGGTCCTCCGATAATGGCAAATGCCTTCAGACATCTGGCAGCAGCAATTCTAACAAGAAATGATTTATCACCAACAGCAAACCGCATGATGAGACGAAATGCCTCTGTATATGCTGAAGCCGCTGCGTTTCCAGCAGAGCCTTCCAAAGCATTTTGAAGCATATATAAAGCTTCTTGTCTCACAAATTCCTGAGTTACATGCAGTTCAACTTAGGGCGCAACAAACAAGAAAAAACAAGAACCCAAAAAGAAAACATAAAGTATATCCAATATTCAATCATATGGTAAGCCTATGAGATACTTGGGGGAGAATACTTAATTAAAGTATTTTGAGTCTTGACCAGTACTTCCAACTATTTTGGAATGACCATAGGGTCCTATACTAGTTGAAGCAGAAAAAATGTTAGTGTGTACATAGAGTTCCCAAAAGCAGCATTGTTCAGTTGGTGCAGAAAATGACAAAGACACTTGATCCTTTCCACTTCTTTCATAATGAAAGTTTACAGAATACAAGGAAAAAAGCTAAAAATATTAGAGCAAAATTGCAGATACAATGAAACTACCTCGTTAAACTTGAAAAGTTTCATGGCAATGATAGTCGTTTCAAGTAAACCCGATGTGATTCGCCTCCCAAAATGTCTATATAATTCTCCTAAGCATTGTGCAGCACCTACATCATAGTTTTCAAAATGATAATTATTAATATTAAAACAAAACACACACAAAACAGAAAAAGGAAAACGTTAAGTGCACTAAATCAGGAAAATGCCTGAGTTAAACCATAAATATAAACAAATAGAAGCAGGTTATGAGTTAGACCAGATAACCTACGTACCAAAGAGGTACATTACCAGTTTACACAAAATACACATAAAAGTGGAAACAGCCGATCATTTCAACTAACCAGCAAGTTTTTGCGGTTCACTCCTTCTCCCATCAGAGAGAAAGCCTTGGAGACTGCTCGCTCTAGAATATATAGAAATGCCATCTCCCTTAGATATAACCCTCGCCATAGCAACTGAAGCCAGATGGCGGACAGGTCGCCGAGCACCAAGAATAAGCAAGGAATATAATGCGTCCTCGCATCTCCTTTGCCACAACAAAATGGATTCCTGCAAGTCATCATTTCCACGCCGACCGTTAATAGTTTACACGTACAGAAATTTATCCACTACTCATTACAAATACTATAATGTACTAAAGATCTAATCAATCCAAGTGCTGATATGTATAACTCAGCCCCTACAATTTGAACTATTTACAAGAATTCAGGATCTAATCAATCAAATTAAGATGCGGATTCCTCAGTCGCCTCGCCAGTACTATGGGCAAACAAGGAAGGAAAATATCAAGTCTAATTCCGAAGGAGGCTCTACATATATACCAAATCAAATCGTAATTGGGGTGCAGAATAGAATGTACTAAAAACTGAGTAAAAGTGGAAGGATAATGGAGTGAGAGGGACCTTGGGCTCTTCGTTAATGGTGGAGATGAGATCGGAGAGGAGATCGAAGCATAGAAGTGGCTCCGGAGGCTTATGGGATGCTGAGGCGACTATGGACTCCAATTGCGCTACCAGTACACCGAACTGAGAGAGGGGGACATTCTCTGTTGTCACATACTTCGCCATCGTGGAAGCGGCAGTAGAATGATCAAGGAAGACGAACAAGATTGAGAAAACTCAAGCAGTACAGTAAGTAAACAACATTGAAACTCTGGTATTTGGACTGGGACGAAGACGCTTCACCGTCGTGGTGTCTGTGGGGTCAGTACAGTCTGGTTGAGGAGGTACGGTGGCCGTGCGCGATGGAGGTGGTGGTGGAGTGACGCAGAGAGCAAGTTCTTTTCTTTGGGACCAAAAAGCAGGGAATGAGAGTTTTTTCAATTTCAATTTTCACCCCAATTCCGTTGGCGAATCTTCTAATTTGCCCTCCTAAACTTTATGTTCTGACGTTGTATGGTTTGGTTCGGTTTGGCACACAAGATATAGGCTAGTTTGTTACTGAAGCGATTCTGAAAAAATTGTCTATCAAAAAAAATTAGGATGTTTGGTAAACATTCAGTTTCAACTTTTTTCATAATTTTGGGTGAAAAAAAGTCAAAAACACAAAACTGCAAAACCCAACTTTGAAAATTAAGCTTTTTTTACATATGTTTTTGCATAAAAGTTTATCAAACACTATAATACTATTTTTTTTTTTTTTAAAATCACTTTTACAAAAAAGTTTACCAAACACTCTGCTACTTTATTTCACAGCTGCTTTTCTTACAGTACAGCAGAAATAGTTTTTTTTTCAAAACACAGCAATATCAAACCAGCCCATAATCAAACCAATCAGCATTTAACAGTTTAGTTTGATTTGGTTTTGGTCAATACCATGATTAAAATTATAGTATAGTTTTGTTAATTTATGTCTATTCCAACATATCAATAAAAACGTCCAAACTTATAAAACTTCCAATTAAATAAAATTTCTTGTTGGCAAGCGACTTATTAGTTACACTCTGGGCAAAATGTGCAAACAAATATCATAATTGCTAATAATAACTACAACTAAAAAATATGTGCATAATAATCACCAAATAACTTATAATATGTTGACATGTGTTAAATAAATAAAATTAATAACTGAAAAATATATGGTCGATTTGGTTTTTAAAAATCAAACTAAACCGACCAAAACAGTTTGGTCGATTTCAAAACTTTTGAAAGATTTGGGACTTGAACTATTTTAATTAGCCAAATTTCCTCTTCTTGTTAAATTTGTATGAATTTCATCTAATTTTCTATATAACAATGTCAAATGTTAGGCACATTTCGTAGCAATTTGAGCCATAAAATCAAATCCAACACCAATATGCAGTGTGAGACTTTAAATTTGATGTCTTTAACACAATTTGTAGTGAAAAATTAAAACTTTGCTTTGACAATGAAGTGTGGCTAATTATAATAGTTCATGTCCCCAAATGGTCAACAAATTAATTTAGGACACAAGTTGAAAGTGATTATAAAATTCAAGAGGCAAATTGGTAAAAACTGAATGTGTCAAAAATTGCTCACTTTAGCAAGTGGCCTTTTATCACAATGATGAAAAGGTGTTGAGCTCTTACATGACACCGTAAGTTCAAATCTCGTCAATAATTAATCCAACATATAATTTAACAAAATATATCGTTTGATAAAATAAAAATAAAAAAAATTATCCACTTTACTTTTACTTCTCACACACCCTCTTAATTTTCGGTCCTCGGATCGAATGAATTGAAGAAGATCAAATGATCGAATTAAAAAGGGGTGTGTGGATATCACACCCCTAATTATATACTTGTTGATAATTATACACCCAATAATGTAAATTAGATTTATAGCAGCCAACATCTCAATCGTTTCGTCTCTTGAATTCCTGTTAAAATCCATGAAACCCATGGTCGCGAATGACGAAATTGCAACGGCCATGGACGGTGGTGCTAGTTACTAAACTTTGTATTTGTTTTGTTGGTTTAACAAGATGTCATTCCAATTTTATCGGATGTCCCCCAAAGAGCCTAAACAAGAGTGTCTGTGGATATGAAGAAAGATAACAGAAAATCCGATAACATATGCATTATCATGGGTCTGGAAATACAAGGCAGAATTTGAAGCTTTTAAGATATCAATTTTATTAGATTGATCTGTAAAACTAAAATAATCTCACAAGGCCACAGAAGAATGCAGCAAGCCAAAAGAAAAACAAAATAGTACATCCGAGCTATCTACAAAATCCTATAGCAACAGCAAAGCGGACAGTAACATAACTAGCAAGGCTACCAATGAGGAGGCGGCGGCGGAGGGTCTTAGAGAAGATGCAGATGAAGTCGCCATCTGAATTATGAAATTGCAATTCCCTTGTGAGACGTTCTGTGTCGTCAACGTAGCCAAACCTTGGAAGTTACACGACTGATCATCCTGATTCTGAACCTGGTAGTACATATTAAACGCATACGAAGCATTCCCGTTCGCATCCAAATTGTTGCAAGAGGAACCATATTCCAATGCGGTGCAATCCGCATAGGTGCAAGCATAATTTATTTTATCTGCCAGATTGCTCACATCTTTGGCGTTCGGGTTAAACATGCACCATTTTTTCGAAAGATACTGCACATTCTTTGCAGGCACTAGTAACTTGTTTTGACCCTGACCAGAAAGATCGACCGGGAACTTGGGCTGTCCATCGTAACTGAAAATTCCCCAATGACGCTCAAAACTTCCTGGAGCAATGCTCTTTGCATCCTCGTCAATAAGTCCAAACAAGTAAACTTCAATGTATCCAGTTCGCAGTGGGGTGCCTCTGTTGGTTCCAAGTTTTGTCAGAAGCCCGTTATAAAACCTAAAAGCATTCCCTACATTGGCATTCTTGTCCCCGTCTGTAGGCCATCCCACCTCCCCAACCACAATGGGCATATTCCCAAATCCCACTGCTTTCAAGGAAGAGACCAAGGTATCAAAATTAGCATCGAAAACATTGGTGTACTGAATCCCAGTGGTTGTGTCAACAATGGGAGTGGTATCCCCATCAAAGAAGGCATAGTTGAATGGGAAGCCGTCATTGCCATATAAACTCAGGAAAGGGTAGATGTTTATGGTGAAAGGCGCCTTATTTTTGTCTAGGAACTGGACAATCTCGGTCATCAGTTGAAGAATATCAGTCCGGAACCTTCCTGCAGATGGCACGGGGTTGTTTTCTGGTGAGTCGTAGACATCAGCATTTAAGGGCACAGTAGCCTTTACCGAATCTCCAACTCCAGCTTCATTAAGGGCATTCTGAATGTTCTGAAGTGCTGGGAACGTAACATTCAGGAATGAACCATTGTACGATGAGAGGAAAGGCTCATTCCCAACTGCTACATATCTGTGAAAACATAACAAAAACAATAAGATAACAGAAGCGCTTGTAGCAGGACTTTGTTTTCAACAAAGCCGCAACCTTGAAATAAAGCCCGGTCACACAGTAGTAAGGACATAGATACAGCACATCAGTATGATAATTCCTCACTCCAATGACATAGTAATGCAGAAAAGAAGAGAAAACTTAAAACAACGATTTCCTTGTTAAACTTCTTAGATCTTTGAAAAAAGTTACCGCTAAGTTCTTGTGCTGTTTTAGCAGTTCCGGTCAACTTGCCTCCAAGAAGGGATACATGTCCAACAAATTTCACCCATCATTCAAAGACTGGTACTTAAGGAAGTCCATGTACTCCATAACAGCAGACAAGAAAAAAGAAAAGCTACAAACTGGACCGAAACAGAAAGATGAATCAACTAAACTAACCGGATATCGGATAGGATTTCCAATAGAAACTTATAAGAAGAAAACCAAAACGCATTCGACGAACAAAAATTGTGGAATCATCAATTCAAAAGGGCCCATGAACAAATCCTATTCAGAAATTTCAAGTCAACCAACAAGCAATTCGAAAGTATTTCTTAGTGCTTACAAGTAACAAACTTCAGATGCAAATTATTTTCTTTTCGTGTGCTGTGATAATAATATATCTAAAAACAGAGTAGGACAGTCGTATCATGTAAGCGTTGGTCACAAAAGCAAATTTGATAGCAAGAACAATGAAATCAATCAGGACTACAAAAGGATCGAAAGCAAATTGAAGTCATACTTGATGTTAACTCCTCCGTTGAAATTGTAGCGGGTGACGTTGCGGCGGACCCATTCTTTGGCACGTTTGTAGCTGGTCAAGACAGCCAGCTGATCATTAGGAATAGCAACCATGACCTCAAGACCACTGTCAAGCAAGGCACTCATGGTCGACTCCTCTGCATCAAAAAGCTTCACCTTCGGAATCCCATTGTCCTTTAGCATCTGAACCACCGTCGCCGGCGGCAACTCGTGGGTTGCCATCGTTCCCCAATTCACACCAAGACCTTCCACACCACCACCACCGCCGTAAACACACAACACAGCCGCCACAAGCAAAACCCACATCATCCTTTCCATGTTTTCTTTTGCCGGGAAAATTCTGGGTTTATGGAAAAGGCAGGGGAGGAGGGCGGGGAACAAAAGCAAAAGGCTTTAAAGTGTAAATAGGAAGATAAATAAGAGAAGAAAGATTAAGAGGGAAAAAACGAGTTTCCTTTATGCTAACTGAAGAGAAAAAAGATGGAAAGAGTTGCAGGTGGGTCGGAGAATCAGCGATATTCCAGTGATTTTATTTTTCCCACGAAAATGAGATGGGGATATAGTGGAGAAAGAGGGGTAATCCAATCCGATCCGATCAAATACAAATATTAGCAAGGAATAACAAAAAAGGAAAGCTGAAGAGGAATAGGAAGTAAGAATAATAATAACAATAATAAAATGGGGATTAGTGAGGGAGGGAGGGAGGGTATATAAAGGCAAGTTACCACTCCACACGTTTTTTAGTAAAGTGACTGCCTATCCAGATGACAGTATGACACCCACCACCACCAAGTCACCACCGACCTTGGCTTTGGCTTGTCTGCCTGGTCGACAAACCTCACTTAGAGACCGACGTTATATTCTCTCTCTCTCTCTCTCTCCTCTCTGCCTTTATGTATCGCAATCAATACATGAATCTGATCAAACCCAAACCCCAAAAAGTTAAAAAAATTCCAAGAATTTTGTGAAGAAGAATGAACAAACATCCAAATGAGGAAGCGACAAGGACAAAAACCCAATTTCTGGTTATGAGCTCCGGGAGAGTGTCTGTCAATCGGTCTCTGTCACACTTCTCAATTTCAAATTGAGGGCAAAGGGAAAGGGAAAGGGGAAGAGAGCCTCCTCAATTCGCAATTTTAACGGCTAGAAATTGATTTTGATTTGTGAAAAGTGAAAATCTCCCCCTACAAGTAAATATTATATAACGCTATTTACTACTACTACTCAGACTTTCAGAGCACGGGAATAAATTATTACTAGTAATCAATACCTTTAAAAAAGTTAATAAAGTCCTGAAGAGATGTGGAAGGGGAATAATAGGGAGTTGCAACGTGTCCGTCCCTTGGGTTTAGTTTCTTTCTTTCGTTTATTTGTCTCTGATTCGATTCTCTTCTGCACAGCGACCTTTTGATGTATCGGAATTCAGAACAACAAGCACTTGTCTTTTTCCCTACTGTGAGCATACAGTAGATAGTATAAGACGGTGAGCATACACTGCATTAAATAATGACGAGTAAAAATGCTCCCTAGTTTGCAAGAATCCTTTTGAGACTGAGTTCTTAATAATATGTATTTGTAATGTTCTTTATCAAGATTAAATACCCTAATCTTCCTGAAAAAAAATAAAAAAAGCGGTTGGAAGTAAAGTAACAACTGATCTCTATTAATTAATAAAGCACTCATTGTCAATCAAATTTTTATAAAATTACCAGTTTAACCCTTTAATTAAAATGGAACATGAATAAGAAATATAGGGCAGAAATGTGATTTCACACAACCAAATTTTGCTTTTTTTTTTAAAGTCTCACCTACGTGTAATTCTAACATATCTTTAATTAAAAAAAAATATTCGCACTCTCACATTCTCTATCACTCTCTTCCTTTCTCATTCTATTTCAAAAATAAAAATAAAAATTTTTCTCCCACATTTTATGTGCGTTCATATACTAATATCAATTAAGATAAGACAACATACAAAGGGCAAAAAACGTCAATTAAATTAAATTTCTTTTTTTTTATGTCATACAAATTAAATTTCTTGATTTGAAATCTAAAAGTTAAGTTACAGGTCAGTGATGACGTGGCCCACTTATTTTGACTCCGGCCGACATCCCACGTTTTTTTGCACTAGCACTACCAATTTTCTGTTATGTTCGCAAAGATACGAGCACATGGTTAGATAAATTACGTGTGATAATATAATTAATTAAAAAATTTTAAAATTATTAATTAAGTGTATTATGATATTTATTGTACCGAAATTTTGCTGCGCTTAAAAATTCTCATGATCACGACTCATGGCTAAGCCGCTAATCCAAAGGGCAAGTCCCAACGTTTACCACGGAGGATAGTACCGTCATTTAAAAATGTGACCGTGAAGTTGAAGGAAGTAAATGGCTATTTTAACTTTACATGGTCTTGGTCGGTCATTATTGCGATAATAAGATGCCATCCAATCTTTTTGAGATTGGGAAATAAACTCAGATAGAAACTACTGTTTTCTTTTATTTTTCTATGGGCACAGTAAAATGTTCATATAATAACTCTATAAAATAATTTTTATCAAACGTTAAGAAAACTTCAATTTCAATTTGGGCCAATATATAAAAAATAAACGGAAAATTTTAATAAAAACTTATCTAATCTCTTTCTACACACAATTTAAATTTTAATGTTAATTATCTATTTTACTCTATTGCATAATTACTATTAAATATAAAATGAAATTAATAATAAAAATCAAATTTATCAATAGACCCACATACTATAATTAAATCATAGCATCACCCTTTATTTATCCTACTTTCATTCCGATTAAAACCCTAATAGCTCTGATAACGAAAAACAAGTGTTTCTATTAATGGATGGTGATTTTGAAATTTTTAATCATCCAACTAAGGTATGACTCGATTTATGGATATTTTGTTTGTTTGCTTCTTCTTTGGATTAAATTTCATACTTTTTATATTATATTGTATTTGTTTTTCTTTGCCATCTGTATGTGCCCCAAAACACTAGTGTAAGGACTTTTGATTAGCACTACAAAGACATAAAAATTGATTCTTGGTGCAAATAAAGATTGTTCAACCTCAACCACGAACTAGCGGGTGGCATGTCTTGCACATTTTTTATTCGAAATAGCTCCAATTTGTTTATTTGTTTATTTGTTTATTAACATATCAGCAAAACACCCAGCCCTATGTCACTTCAAAGTTTCTTAAAAAGTACATGAAAATACTCAATTTAAAAAGCACTGATCTGGAGCTTGCATAACATTCTCTTGGCAATTTCAAGTCTATGGAATGATCTCTTGGATCCCAAGTCCATGGATGGGTTGTGGTAGCAGAAAGAAAAAAAAAGCCATGGAAATGCTAGTCTTATATAAAGGGGCAAAGGAAGCCTCTTTGAAAGAAAAAAAAAACATTCAATTAGAGATGTTATTTTATAAAGGAAATGGATGTGATGGTAATTTTACATTTTGAATTGAATTTGAGAGTGTAGTTTATGTAATAAATTTGGGTTTAAAGAGATATTAATTCTTTAATAAAAAACAATATGGGTGAATAGAGTAAGTTTGGTGTAGAAAGAGATTAGATGAGTTCAAATAAAATTTATCAAAATAAACATCACAATCCAGTAAGATAATTTTTGAGGTCCCGTTTTAAAAATTTGTCTTCACGACTTTGAACACAACATTGTAAAAAATAACAATGTAACATAGTATTTTGTAATGTCTAATCTTAAAAATTGACATGTTTCATTATTAAGATAATATTTTGTATCTATAAAATTCATGAGAAATACTAAGAATACTTTACATTAAAACAATTAGGGTGCGTTTGTTTGGCTTCACTACCCTTCACTGGACTGGACTGGACTAGTTACTAATGTAATCCCGTGTTTGTCTGCACCAAGGACTAAGTTTAATGGTATTAAGTGGGACTCGCGTCGACTAATGCCTTCGTTAGAAGGTCTTAGTGAGGCCCCCCAAATACGAGAGGACTAGCTAAGACCGTCCTCTTCCTGCTTGCTATCATCGTCATGCTCGCTCACCATGTCCTCCTTAACTACTTCGATTTCCCCTTCTGCTCGTCCTAATCGCACGTTTTCCCTTCGATCTCCCTTTCGATTTCCCCTTCAATTTCCCCTTCTGGGTTGTGATGAAGTTTGGGTGCGTTTTATGCTATGAAATTTTCTTGTTCTTCAATGATTTCTCCTTCTGGGGTATTTTGTGATTTCCCCTAGTTCAGCTTTCCATGCTCAAAGTCATCATTGGCAAAGCCCCAGTTTCAGAAATTGGTGAGGTTGTGAAGAAGGAATTGAAACCTGCTGCCTCTAAATTTGTGGGGTGATGAGATTTGAATTTTTAACAATTTTGGGACATTTGAGTTGCTAATTATTTCTCAATATTGCAGAATCTGGGTTCTGTTCTTTATACTCTGTTTTGGTGAATTATGAAAAAAAATTCTAGATGGGTATTTGTTGTTGCAGTGACTGATTGGTTACAGAGAAAAATTGGAGAAAGAGGATAATTTTTGTAATTATTTTGTGTTTCCATGGTGGCTTATAGTTGAAAGGGTAGTTTGTTTATGCAAATTGCAATGATACAATGCACAAAAAACTTGATATTTTCTTTCATTTCCAAGCAATTGCAATTAAGTGTAGTGTAATTTTATCATTTGATTTAATTGTGGGTATTGTGCAGTTGAGTTTGATGCTTCAATTATTAATTTGCAATTTCATTAATTTTTATTACCCTGCTTCTTAGTCGGACATTGTACCAAACGCTTCACTAAGCTAGTCCAGCTTGGTTTAGTCTAAGCCAGTCCAGCTTAATCCCTGAAACTAGTCCAATTCGAGACAGTTCAGTGCAACAAATGCATCCTTATGAAGCACTTTTTTGCCATTTAATGATTGCCTACTTATTACTTTCTAAATATTCATGGACAAATTGAGAAAGGATTGAAAGAAAAACATGATTTAGTAGCTTGTGACATTTCTATCTCAAGTCGACACGATAAAAAGTGTTGCGACTTTTCTGCTTCTCTCGCAATTCCGGTCAAAGAAAAATGATATAGGTGTGTGGTGTGTCAGTGTGTGTGCTGACACTTGACAGAACAAAAGTTGGATTGAAATTTACCTTTTTGGTATTATCTGGGTGAAGAATCACAAAATTTAGGATAAACGATATTTCTTGTTAAAATTGAAAGATGGGAAGATGCAGGTCAGGGTTTGGAGTTTGCTGTATGGCTATGGGCCTTATTGCGAGTAAAAATGTCTCATTATCAGGGCCTAGAGTGAAAGTATCGTGTATTGTTTTCCTCTTCTTTTCTTCACCATCCATCTTGCCTGCAAGACAAGAAGGAAAGCAATCAATCAAAACTTGAAATTAAATTTTTGGTCCGAAAATGATTGCTTAAAAATCTTACATGATTGCATGCATTACTCTGGAGTAGTAAACTCAATTGTTGTTCTTGCCGGATTCAATCACCACCGCCTCATAATAGTTGATATGATGTTGGTTCTTTACACTTGTTAACTTAGGGTCCATTTCGACCCTCAAGATAGTATAGGCTTGAAAACAGTCCCCGATAATCTCAAGAAAGGTCAAAGCCCAAAGAAGAAGAGGGAGCCCAAGGCCCAATGCAATTAAAAGGAGGCATGTCTGAGTGCTATAGTGGACTA